TGGCTAAATTTTTTATAAAGGTTTAAATATTATAGTATTGACAAAATAAAAAAAAAAACACGTAATTGTAAAACCAACACATTCATCACTCCACTTATAATCTAATAACTAAAAAAAAGAGAGTATTTTTATGTACATATAGCATTCGGGAGGAAAATTCTAACTGGCCAAACTTATGACTTATAAGTGAATAATATTATTCATATTTTATAAAGTAGCCAAAGTAGGTACTTTTAAATTTAATATTCACTTTGAATAGCTAGTTTAACTGAAATACAATAAACGTATACCCCAAAAGGAAATTTATGTAGGTATATTTGTGTATAATAATAAACCAATAACTTGTAATGTTTATCACAGCCTATTTTTCTGTATATCTACTATATTTTAACTATAATATAATTCAAATCGCATTATCACAAAATAAATTATATAAAATTGTATACTTAACACAATAAATTATAATTATTTATTGCAGTTATATAATTTAAAAGTGTAGTATTATGTAATATAAAAACATACCGTAGGTAAAAAGTAAATACTTACACTCTACAGGCTACAATAACTACAGAACATAAACATAGCAAATGATTTAGCTTTTGAAATATTTGTTTTAATTGTTTATATTTATTTTAGGCTAATAGTCATAGAAGATGATAATTAAAAGAAAGTTAGATAAATGTATTAGTTTATTTCAGAATATTACATACACCTAACCTAATCTACAACAGCGTAAAATTTGATGTAGTACAGCGTATAATAATTATGTCTTTTATTATAGTTAAATTAGTAAAGAACTAAAAAATGATTTTGGTATAGATTGCAATTAATATTAGCAGTAATGTGTAATGTAATTTAATATTCATGATAATAAATAATGAAATAATTCAAATCATAACAAATTTAAATATTCAAGCTAAGAAATTAGAATGATCGATAAAATACAGTTGAAATATTATTATCTAAATTACCACATTAGATATAATATTTAGATAGGTAAAATGACTAATCAGGTAGGTTTAAGAATTTTCGTCTCACTCATGTCGTAGTACCTCCACTGAGAGGCCTCTACAATCCGCCAAATCTGCCATTGTATATATTATTTTTATTTTTATTTTTATCTTAGCTTCTATCATCAATTATTCTTATTGCTCTCCTTTGAAACAGATTGAATAAAACATTAGAAAAAAAAAAAAGAATTTTCAAGTTATAGATTTTCTGATCTAATATTCTAAGTGGATTAATTGCCATGGAAACAAACAAGATGAATCGTCAATATGCTCAACCACAATTTTTTCCTTTAGTAATGAATTCATTCAAATTCTGATTTTTGAAATTTTGAAATATATCTAATTAAAAATCATATCTTAAATATTTGAGATTTTTCTACTACTTAAGGAGTGTCTTGTAATTATATAAACTTATATTTTTTAAATGAAAACCCCGTTTATTATGGTAAATTATATTTTGATGCAAGTTTCTAATTTAAAATTTGAATTATAGTAATTTTATCAGTTATCTAAATGTTTATTCTAAGAATAATTAATTGTCCTTAACAATGGTTTTACAATAATCTAAAATATAGGTAATATTGAATTTATTATTTATTATACATTTATACTTGGACCATTTTTACAAATTATTATTGTAATATATTAATCACTAACGTGTTCAAGTAATCATAGTCCCAATATCTAACATAGGAATCATCCTGAAGTTTAGTGTACACGATTTTAAATATTTTTTTCATCTGATTTAAATTCGAACAACTCTTATGTATGTCGTATGTGTTATTACTTATTATTGCTATACGAGAAATTATTTCTAATTGCGTAATTTAAAAAACAAAGTTAATAATTTTATAACTGATTGAAATACCGATTTATTATTTATTAGCTATTTTATGGACTGTATAATTATAACTCGAGACTATTTTATACGCAAGAAATTAATATAATTATTTAATTGTCTTATATTTATTGAACTCCGTTGCTTTTAATGATGAATAGTTTTATTTACATACAAATTAAATTAATTGTCTTGATATGAAATTTGCTTAGGTATTTTTAGAATGTAAAATAAAATGCCACGTTACAGAAATTAGAAGCGTCCATTAAAGTTAAACGGATCATCAAATATTGTACAGTTCCTTTCGAACAACGACCTATAATTATGCCATTCAATTTAAATGAGCCGTTAAGCTTATCAAATTTTGTGTGACTCGAACAAATGAACTCGTTAAATATTTTTTTATTGATTTTATTTTGCACGCCGAGCCTAAGTGGCTGTCATCATCGACCAAACTGTCATAAATAGTATATACATTAAATAAAACAAAAAGGAGCAAAATTATATATTTATTGGCTTATTTTTTTTATTAAGGTATCGAAAACACGTAAGCAAAAAATCGTATTTATTAAATACAATAAAGAGGTATTTTTTTTTTTTTTTTTTGAAATGGAATAAAAAATTCTTATTTTATTTGAAATATGACATGTTAATATCCTTGTTTGTTCACTAAATTATATAGTATATAACTATTTTCTTGTCCAACATTTTCGTTTGAAACTCCAACGACTTATATTGCATTTTACGGATTGATGAAAATGTACAATATACAAATCAAACAAAATGAATATAGCTGTCGTGTATGTACTCGCATTACTTGTATTTATTTTTATTTATTTTAAACGTACAAAATTGAAACAATTTTATTATTTATGTATTTCCATAAATTATATAGTTTATCGTACCGGTAGTTACGTGGTATTTATTATCAAATAATATACCATAATTGCATATTATATTTGGCATAATATTATAATTAATGTCCACATGTTAGAAAGGAGTTTGATTTTAATAGATACCTTAATTTTCTTTAAATAGTGGTACAATTGATAGTTATCGATCAGACTAAAAATTTGTTTAAAAAACAAAGTATAACAGTTAGTAAGTACATGTCTAGTAATAAAAAAAATATTAATGAAACAATTTCAATATTATCTCTGGCACGGAATCAATGTTAGTTAAAGTGTCTGTTCTATACTTCTATGTAATACCGTCTTGAAACCTAAGCGTTTTTATACAGATAATTATCAAAGTATCAGATATAATAATGTAATGTTAATCCTCCTTTAAGTAAAAATTATTTGATATGATTTCGGCATTAAATATTGGTACTAATATATGTACTGAAAATATAAATATAATTTCTTTTTCAAGTTTACCTAAGTATGATAGGTATATTGAATATTAAAATTTTATATAAATTTATCATTTAAAGATATTTATTATATTATTAAATTAGTAATTACCTATACGTAATTAATATATACATGTTTAATTTAAGTTAAAATATGTTTAATATTTATGAAACATATTGCTTTCTTTAATACATTTTGTTATTGATTTTATATAGGTAGTTGTTTTTAAAATTATAAAATTATTTCATTTATTTTTTTGTTAACAAGACTCATTAAACCTAAAACAAATTTTCTTAGAGGTTGGGTCTTGGGTCAGAAAGTATTTTGTATAAAATAATCTAATACATTAAATATTTCTGAAATAAAGTTCTTCTCTTCTTATTATTATTATTAGTTCTTACTATTATTATAGTAGAGCAATTTGAAATAGTAACATTGATTATAATAAAAAATATTGTTGTATATACATGTATAGTTTCTTGTTTTAGGTTCATATATATTAATACAATACGGTATTACTATAAGTTTATATTTTTTAGATTAGTAATTCAATCTCAAATTCACAATCAATATCATTGTTTTTGTTTATTTCGTATGATAGTGAAATTCAAGAACTTTAACAGTTAATTGACTTATAAACTTTATTCAATTTCCTTATCAATTATTTCATCTATTTAATTGTATAACAATATAACATCAACGATATAAAATTATAGAAGATAGTGAAAAGTAAACAAAATAAATGCTAGGAAAGACTGAGTTAGATTTTCAAATATTTAATATTTTACACTATTGTGCTCATATTGTTCTTTGTATCGTGATAGATATGATTCATATTTCATACAATATATCCATTACATAACAGTTTTTAACGAAAACTATTGAAAGAAAAAAATAAATATGATTGATATTTTAGGAATTAATATATTATTTATAAATAAATGTACTTACAGGTATTCATAATATTATATATGCTGATAAGATGTGTATACAACGATGTTACTTTTTATGTTAAGATAATAATATAATAACATTAAAGATAATCTTTATTCTATCATTCTCTCGGGGATCATTTTACATAAAAATATGATTTTTTTTTGTTATATATAGTGTGCCATAACGATTGTCTATTCAGCAAATATGCACTCACACGCATGTATATTAGGTATTTATATATGCATATTATATATTATATCGATCCAAATAAATTGTATTTTATTTAAATAGCTACGGCGGTGTCCGGGCATATCGTGGAGGGTAAACTGTTTCTGCAGTTAACCACATCGCAGCACAAACCTTTTCTCGCACACATAAATGGAATTCAGTATATGTATTACATAATAATAATATTATGTTTATATAGGTATTAGGTAGGTATGTGTATAGCCGTCTAGGTAGGTAAGTACTGAAGTTTATTACCACGTTCGACGTGTAAGCCATGTTATAAATGTTTATATAGATATTTGGTTTTTTTTTTTTTTCGCGATCCCGGATTACCGATCGCCGGCCGTGACGGTTGGGATCACTTTGTAAGGGTTCAATATACACTTTGGGTCCATAGTATTTTTCAGGCTCCGCATAAGGTCGACAGCCGGCCCACTCTTCGTATGCTCCAGGTATTGCGTTTTTAACAGACCGATTCCGTGCTCGGCGCTGACGCTTCCGCGGTACTTGGACGTCCAACCGTAAATGAACGGCTCGATTATCCGAGCCAGTCCTTCGTCTCGCTGCGATGTTACCACGTTTAGATGCAAATTACCGTCACCTGTAACACGACACGCACAATAAATAATAGATATACGTATAAAATATATTATTATTAGGTATTGGAAAAAATGTATAGAAAAATCGTTTTTACGAATAATCATTTGTTACAAMAAACATTCTGCATTTTTATTATTTATATGGACACCTACCGATTTTCTATACCGAATTTTTTGAAGGTAATAGGTTCACAGGTGACTGACCATCGATGGGCGTAGGCATATACTGCCCGTGGGTATATCTATATATCATATGCGTAACCGCGGCCCGAAGGCGTACCGTGCTATTATAATACATATAATATAGATGTAAGTATGATATTTTATAAATAAATTATATACATATGCACATTGTGCGATACACCGCGGTCACGCCGGGTTGGCGAATAATTAATGAAAAGTCGATACGAATATTAAATTACGGACCTCTGTGATGTCGTCGAAGGAGACTGCTATATAATATATCTATATGATGTCAAAAATCAACAAAATCATCTTATTTCCCAAACACATGCATCATCAGGTTAGGTATCTTATCTACCATTAATATTTAATATCGCGCAAACTAAYAGCCTAAGTTGTTGAAGCTGTATTAAGGATATGTATAAACGAAAGAGTATGGTGTATGGATAACCTACTCCTGTAGGTAATATATTATTATGTCGTGTAATAATATGTTATGTAGTATTTACAGTATATAGGTACTGTCGTACTTCCGGAACGGAATGACATGAAGGGCGGTGCAGCTCAACTTATAGATGGCACCCCGCGGACCTACTTCAAGTCTAGATTATTATTGATTGTTAAGACAAATATTATTTATTATTAATGTAAATAATTGTTTAACGCTTCTGAAGTATTCTTTATTTATCATCATTAATTATATTTTTAATCTACTGGCTCAAAAAATTTGTTCACCAAACTACCTAACCGTCTGTTCTAATAAGTAAAACACAAATAGAAAATAATTCGGGCTCGCGAAATACTGATGTGTATACGYATCTAGTGCGGTTGACTTATGATTCATTATATCCGTATTATGTTGTTTGGTCGGATGAAATTAAACAAGTTTAAGCTGCAGGTATTCAGTTKGCGACCCCGTTGACATTTGTCCGTATTACTTTAGTTGCATGGGGTATGGTTGGGAGGTACATACGACGTGAAAGCTCGCGTATAAACTCGGCGGGAATTGTTATACAGGGTTTTAGAATTGCCACCGTAAGACCCAAGTTAAATATATGACTAACCTAGTTTCAGTATAACTTACGCGCACTGTTGGTTTATCATCCACGTGYAGTTCACGTTTGTTTATCAAAAACCGGATAATATTATGACTGATGTCAATTTTTTGTGACCGATTGTACAGTGGTTGTATTAAGTAAACATTGAAAACCGTAACTTTCAACATGATGGTAAGTACTAAATGGTAATATGTGCGGTATAAAATATTATTATAAAACACATCTTTATCTCTATGAACCTATTGAACCTATATAATATTGTTTTGTTTTCTAATTTACTATTGTTTGACGTTTTTGATTCGACAAACATTATTAATTCATGTTGTGAAGATTCTAATTTGCATTATTGTATAAATTATATAGGTGCAATAACCAATAATACTATTATTAGCTGCGAGGGTGCACAGATAATATATGGTCCATCATTATCAGAGGCATAAAGAAAAATGTCTCAAGTAGTCACTCTTTAATAATTTTTCATAAACTTTAATACCTATACCTACGATTCAAAGTTTATAAATAATTATCTATGATTATTATCTAYAAACCTTGCCTACAACCTATGCCTTATATCTATATTTATTGTTTGTAAGATCCTGTTACTCAACACTTATTGATGTTCACTAAGCAATGATGATGACCTATGCACTTGTTCATATGCAGTAGAATTAAATTAGTTATAATCGATTATTTAATAGTTATCTCGATAGAAATCGATTAATGATGCATAGTAATACAAGCTATAAAACTAATGCATCGTATATAATACATATACAATCAATTATGTTATGCACAATCTTTATCGGAATAAAAATAATATATCGATTTACTACTAAATAATTTATTAATAATTGATAATTTAATTTGTGGATTTACTACTAGTGTACATAATTTAAGGTATATAACAATATATAAACACTGTAATGGTGTTTTTTTTAAAGATATCTTTCATCAATATCAAATTATTTGTTGTTCTATCAAATACATTACAATTAAAGGGAATTTAAGTATCTAATGATGGTGTTTTATGAAATTCTATCTCAGTAGAATTCGATTTCAGTTTATCATTTTTATTGACTTGAACATATGGACTTCAGTCAAAATGCCCATAATAATAATAATAATAATAAAAATAATAATAAATAATCATATAATAGATTATAATATAATAATTAGTCGACTATACCTAACCTACTAATTATTGCTATTTATTTTTTAACTTACCTATGTGACCAAATCCACAAACGGTTTTGACATTCCTATTGTCSTTAAGTTTTTCCCGAGTTAACTCAACAATTTCATAAAACCGGTTTATAGGTATTGATATATCGAAGCTGTAAACGTAGCCCAACTTTAATAATGCTTCAATTACTGTTTCCCGAACTTTCCATATTTTCTGAAAAATGAAAATAGTTTTTGGTTTTTATATCATTTAAATTTATTCATAACTAAACTACAACTACAAGCAATAGAACTTATATATTTATGATAAGGTAAACAAAACTGTATACAATTCATGTAGATGATGGCCCATAAGTTGTATKYAATTATGAATTACGAATTTCTAACCTATACAGGTTATAAGTAGGTACTTAATATTTTTTATATAGGATCTTATTAAAATACGGTTTAATGTAAAAATAATAATAATAGTTACGTGTATGCTGGACATCTGATCGGTCGTTGTGGCATCGGAGATCACCGAGTTACCGAGAGCTTTTTCCAAAACATTTTCCATGTGTTGGCCGACAGTCTGTTGACTGGAAGCGAGTTCGATGAGTACATAGAACGGATGGACATTAGTGATTGGACACGGGAGATGAAGTTTGCTTTCCACGTACGTCACAGCCATGTTGTCCAGGAGTTCGAACGACGATAAGGTTTCTCCAAATTCGATACGAGCAATGGAAAACARCTTGAGCACTTTATCGTAACTGTCCAATCCTGCTTACAAAAAAATGACTCCAAATTTAAGATAAATTTTAAAAAAATTGAAAAAAATTAATTTATGGTGAATGTGTTCCCGGCTAGAATTTATAAGCAATATGCTCAGCAGCTTTGAACTGATTTGAAATTTGGATGTGGATATATTAGTTTTTAAATTTGAGTATTTTTGAGCAGCAACCGATGTATGTATATATTACTTCTATGTGATATAATATAATATATTATATAGGTACAATCGTTTATAGCTGACGACGTATAAATACAGAAAACCATCAAGAACAGGAAATAGCTAGCTGACTTCCGTTATGGACTTATATATTTACCCAAAAATTATTTCAAAGCTTTTATTATTTTGTATTTTCTCGTGTAAGGGTTAAAGTCATAGTATTTGTTACCACTTATCGCACTCACCTCCATAAATTGTCTTACACATACGATTTTAAGCTATAAAACTATTTAACTTATTGTGTTTGTATGTGTAGACTATATCTATCTACTATTTACTATTTAGCATGC